AAAAAAAAAAAAAAAAGAAAAAGAAAAAATCTGAATACAAATTTCACTAATACTCATAGATTATACATTTACATTAGGGTATTACACTTATCTATTTTTGCCTTTTAAATTGTTTTTGATGAATTTTGGAATCATTTTATAAGATTCTAAACCCTAGTTACGATATGGGTTATGCTTTTCTACCAGTTTATTACTTCTTTTTTAATTCTTTAATGATAGTTTCAATTTTTTAGAAATTCAAATATATAAATTCTAAAGTTTTCTTTTTCATTATATTTCTGTCATTATGATAAACCCTAGTCAACATCATGTTTATATTTAATCTTTATTATATTTTCCCCAATACAGTTGTGGTTTCATTTTTAAAACATCAAGATTTGCTTTTAATTTTTACATTTTTACTATATTTGATATTACACACAATGAAAGAGATGTGACAAGGATCGAAAATGTTTTTAAACAATGATTTATTAGTTTTTGGAATGATCACATGAATACTGCTTTTATCAATTATTTAAAATGTCATCTTAATAACCAGCTAAATTAAATAACTATATGCTCGATTATATTTCAAGTCTATTCATTTAACTTTATTATAGTCCCAATATACCATAACATTTACATTATTATAGCTTTATTTTATTTTATTTTTGTATTTAGTACAAGGTCTATGTGGTCTCACCACACAGACTGGACTCATAATGAGTCTCCTGTTTTCAGCCTCCCACCTGAGATTACAGGTGCACACCACCACACCCAGTCTCAATTGCTATCTCAGCACGCCCAGAGGCAGGGCCCAGCACGCTGGGGATCAAACCTTGGTATTATAGCTTTAAAACAGATTTGTGAATCAGCAATAGTAGGTATCATCCTTCAATGTTTTGAAATTTCCCCCCATTTACAGTTTTAGATGTCTTCCCAAAAACAGTTTAAACCACGTCCTTATGGAATTTTTAAAAAACTAGATTTTTTATTATATAGAAGATCTCTAACTTCTACCAAAAGATATACAAAACAATGAAATAAATTTGTTTTAAACTTACTCCGGTTGCCACTCGAATGCTTCCTGATGGAGGTCGCATTCCAGAAGGAGGCCTGCTCGTCAACCCAATGCCACCTCGTGAAACAGGGCGGGATGAAGATTTATGATTACCAGCCATTGTGCATTCATTTAAACCACTGTAAACAATAAATCAATTCTCCTTAGATGTCTTTTACAGCAAAACATTAGTGGCCCACCATATCTTTCCTTCAAACATTTAATTCATGATGATTTTTCTTGCAAATAGCTACATCAGACACCATTGCAAGACAAAGCCAACTCTAATTTTGTTCAAAAATCTCATATTAATGCTCCATTTAGAACTATAGGTTTATTACAACCTTTCTCCCTTATCTATTATCTTACCAACATGCAAGACCCTCTAAGTAAGTCTCCTTGATGTTTGATTCTTAATCATTATTTCTATCTAACTTCTGTTCCTGCCACTTTCAGCAAATGATTTGATTTCTTAATCAGAGAACTTAGGACATATATTCCATCACCTTTAGGGCACAAAATTTAAGTTCATCCCAGCCTCCAAGCTCAACAGTCAGCCCCTCTCTCATTTACGATCAGTCCCTGTTCTGATTTGCCTTTTCTCTTTTTTCCCCACAATTTTATTGAGAAACAAATAGTAATGAGACAGTTTCAAACCAAATTGGTAGGACAGTTTCAATAATTAACACATTGCATACGTTCTTCCTAGTGGTTAATTGCTGTACAAGATGCAGACATGATATCCTATTTACAAACACTATTGGAACAAATCCCTCTATTCATTAAGAGAATGTAACTATATATCTATCCTAACCATTTTGAATACACGGATACAAAATGAACGTTCATCTGTATCCCCTTTTTTTGTTAAGTACCGTTATTTGAATCTTATAGGTGTGTAAACTCAGCAAAATAGTCTAAAAGAGTCCAGTAGTCCATAATAGTATTAGGTCTTCCGCTTGACTGGCAATGTCAGAAATTGTTGACCTGAGTCCCCCACAGCTCAACATAACAGCATGGCTTTACTTCTTATATTTTGTTTTTATACTTTTCTGCTGGATGGTTAAGACCAAGATAAAGCAAGACTTATGCAACAAGAGTTGTAGCTTTGGGGTCTGATAAGGTCAGTGAAATCCCCTCAGGATATATCCTGAGATCCTGTATCTCAGATTGTAGAACCTTTGTCAGTGTCAGCCATGATTTGCCTTTTCGATCCATTCCCTTTGAGAATCTATCTGCCCCCTCATCACTTTTGGGGCATTACTTCTACTCCTTCTGACACATTTAAATTTTCTCCTCTCTTAAACCTATTATCACACTCAATAGCATTTCTTAACTGCACAAATGAAGATCTTGGTCCTGCAACTACCTCTAAAACCACCTCTAAGTCAGTCTCAAATATTCATATGTGCGGGGGAGGGAGGGACTACATACTCAGCCATCCAAACTCTTAAAAGTGGACTGTTTTTCATGAGCTCCTGGATTCCCTGATTCCTGTTTGAACAACCTCTTCTAATGTTACCAGACATACAGTGGTCATGTTATTGGTTTCTACACTTAAAGAAACCTCCCTTACACGTGCCTTTTTGGATTCTCCCTTTGCAATCTCTTTGATCTTAGTCTATCTGCCCTTAAATAGCAGGATTCTCCATTTAGCCTGTTTTTCTTTCTTCTCTCTAAGCTCTCTTTGGGTCACCTCATCCATACTTTGAGTTTTAAAATTCATAAGTTCACACTCTGTATCTCCCCCAGGCTAAGGACCTAAAGGTGTTCATATCCAAATATAATTACCAGGCCAGCCAGATAGCTCAGCGGGTTAAAGCACCTGCTTAGGCAGATGCAGGGGCTTCAATCCCCAACCTGCCTTGCAGGCCCCATCCCCTGGGTGTGCAGAGATGGCGACTGGGTGTGGTGGTGCATGCCTGTGATCCCAGTGCTTGAGAGGCTGAAAAACAGGAAGGATCACTACAAGTCCAATCTGTGGGGTGAGACCCTGTAGACCCTGTACTAAATACATAAAAAATAAATATAATTATTACCTAACATCTCAGACATTGTCTAATATTTCAAAATGGACACGTGCAAATCAGTCCCCAACAAGTGCTCTTCTTCTTGGTACCATCTGCTCACAAGCAACTTTGTCCTTGATTTCTCATACTTCTCACTCGCTATAGCTACCCACTTGGTCCTACTGATGTTATTCCTAAATGTTTAACACGTACCTTCTTCCTTTCTATTCTTCCAGCAGAGGCCAGTTCAGGGGCTCAGTGACCCAAGCAGAGTCCTAACTACCCCATTGCCCATCACGAATCTCACCTAATATCTAAGACTCTAAGAATCTGTCCATGACCACTCCGTAACTACCTGCCTGCACCTTCTTTTTCCAAAAGCTAGTACAGCAAACCCTTAGTTTCCAGCTGAATTAGTTACTGCACTGTCTTTCAAGTAACTTTGAGAAAATGTACCACATACTTTGACCTGATTTTCTTTGCCACTGCTTTACTGTAGTAGAAAAAGCTTAGCATAGCATCAGTCCCAGTAAGGGTTAGGAAACAAGGAGAGAAGAGGCACTAGTAACTCTGAAGCTATTCAACAGAACACCAAACATTCACACAACTACAGGCGAAGGGGGTTATTTACACAGGCCAGTCATTTGTTCAGGAAAGACTAAGGACACAAACTACCTCTAACAGTCACCAACTGCTATGTTGACACTTAACCCCTCTGGAAGAGTTTTCTCGTCTCTAAAATAAATATGTGGCGAGGAGCCGTACCTTGCAGGACTCTGCAAGGGGCAGTAGTTGCAGTTTTCCCACTGCAGTAAACCACATTATACGAAAAACATCTGGCTGCTAACGTTGGTTACCAGCATTCTGCTCCCTAAGCTAACCTCTCTCACTTGGGCTTAGTGGTAAGCCCCTAAACCCTTTCCCCTGTGACCAACCGCAGACATCAACCAGAGGACGCTGATAAAATCCGTCAGCGCACACCGACTTCTCTGGGGCTCTCGGGTCCTTCCCGTGGTACGGCGTGGCGGTCTCCTTCGGAGACGGACGAAGATCTCCGCGTATTTTTTTTCACCAAAGAGAAATGATAACTTCCCGGCCGGGCGAAGAGCCTGATGCTAACAGTTTTGGACAGAAGAATTCCAATTTGTTTTGTCTGGAGGGATCAGGGTCGCCTACGTGAGGAAAACAGGCAGCAAAGGGAGGGAGGGCGGTGCGACCTACGAGTCTCACCCTAGTGGCTGCCAGAGGAGCCAAAGCGCTCCACGCACTTCCTGAGGCCGCCGCCGGAGGAGCCCACTCGCAAGCCCACCTAAAGCCCTGGCTCACCTCCACCCAGCTCTCCAGGCCCCTCCGGCCTAACCGCGAGCGTCCTCGCGCCTCTGCGTATCCCGGCAACGGGGGCGGGACTTTAGAAGATCCCTGCTCCTGATTGGCCAATCCTCCGCCTCAGCTCCCGAGAGCTAGTAACTGAGCGAGATCAAAGTGCTATCGCGATATTTGAAAACTATTTTGGGGGGAGGGTTCCCCATTTTTTCAAAAGGATGAAAAATATCAGGTTAACTAGAAAACAGAAGAAACCATTGTATCCGAACGCCTCGGTTGTCTTTCTCTTTTCCTTTTGTGAGACCCGGTACTCTGCGTGGCCCAGGCCAGCCCCATCTCCCGAGTGCTGAGACTACAGGCCTGTGCCCGTTTGTCGGGCTCGTGGTCCAGGTTTGCTTGATAAAGGAATCTCCTGAACTGAGATTATATCGCTAAATACCTGTTTGTCAAAAAGAAAGAAAGAGAAGGAAAAAGAAAAAGGGTCGGCCAGATAGCTCAACGGGCTAAAGAACCTGCTTACGCAGAGCGTAGCGTCAGGGGTTCAATCCCCCGCGTGCCCTGCTAGCCCCGCCCCGGGGCCCACTGAGAGGGCGATTGAGACTGGGCTTGCTGGCGCATGCCTGTAATCCCAGCACTGAAAACAAAAAGATCACTACTGAGTCTGATCTACGTAGTGAGACCCTGTAGACTCTGTACTAAATACAAAAAATAAATACCTGCTTGTCTGCTCCACGCAATTTAAGACTACTTTGAAAGCATCCTGTACAGAGCAGTATACTGTACATATTTTTTTTTTACTTAATTTGTATTAGTTTTCCCTCCTCTTACTGCATAACGCACTTTTATTATGGATGAGAGTCTAAAACTACCTGTTGTGATTGGAAGGTTGGCATCTGGAAGCTTCTTCACTATAGTTCTTTGATCTGAGTGTACAAGGCTATAAATTAAATGAAACGTGTTCTTAGAAGAATTATTTTTGTGCAAAGTCACCGCTTTGCAGAAAAATAATTTAGAAATTATTTCACCTCAAATCCCACTTTAATTAACATTTTAACATTTATGTTCTTCCAGTCTTCATACAGAGCAAATAGTTACATAAAATTGATATTTTAGTATTATTTTACCCATTATTTCCAACTTACATGTATATTATTCACATCAGATTTATTCTCACATATTCCAACCTTCAAATTTAACATCAGTACAATGCAAAACACAGTGTTATGGTTTGTGTCTAGACGTCCCCCGAGCCTCATGTAGTCATGGGATGGGCTTCTAGACTTGGTGATTAATTCAGTGCTGGGATTATGACTGTCAGCATTACAGCTGCCCTGAGGTAGATAGCCTGAAAGCAATATAAGAAAGGAAGAGAGGCTCGCTCTCTGCCACTGCTCCTCCCTTTTTGCGCTTGCTGTTTTGCTGTTTTCCACCTCCATGAACTGCTGCCCTCTGCCATGTGCCACTCTGCTTTGGAGCCAGCTGATTATGAACTGAAACTTCCACAAACTATGAGCTAAATAAACCTTTCCTTCTTTAATTTGGGGTGTCAGGTATTTTGTCCCAGTAATGAGAGAAAACTAAGGAAGACATGCAGTAATGTCATGTGACTCCACTCTTACATTTATAAAACATTATCATGTAGTTATCTCATTTGAGACCGACCCATTTGCAGTAGTCATTTGTTGACTTTTTAGTCACTCTGGCGCTAACCAGGTTTGACAGAGTTCTTCCCTTACTACTCCAGCCCTAGAATAAATGAAAGTGACTGATACTGTCTTCCCTACCCTCCCTTATTTCTGAGGCATGAGCATATTGTTTACTAGACACACCAATCTAATATGATGCGTATGTTCCAGAGGTAAATGAGAACCAGAAGCGAGCCTTCATGAAGTCCACTCAAGAAACAGTGACAACCTCAGTAACTATATCCAGTTTCTAAGACTACGAAGGTCTATCAGCGGCATCAAGGTGAAGCCTAAGCATGCTGTGCAAGCTGTAGCACTTGTGCGCAGAGGCTTCAGTAGGAGAACTCCAGCCCACCTCTTCATCCTCCTGGAAAGTCTATGAGCTTCCTGATGACCTTTAATACATTTCTTTTCAATTCTTAAATCCAGAAAATGTTTCTATTGCTTGCAGTCAAGAATTTTAGCAGATCTAATAGTTGAAATTAGCAGGACAGGCACTATTATCCATAATTTGTTCAAAATTACTTGAGTAAAATTAAGCAGTGGTCTGTATTCCCATAGCCTTTTCATGATGAAAAAAATACAGAATAGTAACACAGCTCATTAGCCTCTTCTTTCAAATGGGCAACACTTTATTTAACATGATCACTGATTCTGTTGCCTCCACTGCAATGTCCTGAGTTCTTACATAAGGAAAAAAAAATCTTAAATTCAGTCAACCAGCGGTGGCCAACTCGTCAATAACTTTATTGTCGTTAGCTTCCCACTAAGATAGTCCAAATAAGACAACTGACTAAAACTTTAACCAATTTATTTTTAAAAAACTTTTATTTCCTCAGCCATATATCTCAGTGATAAATTCCTTATTTGCCCTTGCTATGTTGCATTCAGAGTTGTGCCCAGTGTCTGTCCCTGACTGCAAAACCTCATTTCAGTAGTCTCTACACCTATTGCCGTGCCCCCCCCTTTTTTCCCCCAGTACTGGGGATTGAACTCAGGACCTTGAGCTTGCCAGGCAAGCGCTTACACTGAGCTATCTCCCCAGCCCTCCGTGGCTCTTTTTAGAATATGCCTGCCTTACTGCCTCACTGTTGTGATGTCAGAAGGTATGTGTCCTCTCAAAAATCATGTTGAAACCTATTCTCCAAGTTGATGATATTTTGTATGGAACAGCTCAGCTGGAAATTGATCATATGTGGGAGAGCAGAACAAGGCCTCACTGCCTAAAGCTGTCAAGCTACCTCAGTCTTGAGAAAACATCCTGCCTGGACAATTTTAACTGATATTCACTAGGAAAATTTGTGTCTCATGATACTAACATTGGAAGAGTATAAATAAATGCCCCTACTGTGGTTCTTTGGGTGTTTTGCTCATCAGGCAAACAGACCTCTATCTGAACTGAACTCTGGTCTCTATCTTTTCCTCATTCCTGCTGCTGTTTCTCCCTGGGTATACTGAGACACCAATACACTGAGACACCAACAAGTCCCAACATTTGGTGCCTGAATAGGGACATACAAGAGAAATGGGCAGCAGGAAGACTTCCAAAGTGCTCACAGAAGGGGAGAGAAACAAATTGGTTTGAGCGAGTATTCAGCACAGGCCTGCACTGGTACTGGCATCATCAGGTATAAAATTTGGGGATGGAAGCTCATTAGGGCCGGAACAGATTCACTAGGGCCCGAGACATAAATGATTCCCAACAATGTTTAAGAGGCAGGACCTTGGGGAGGTAAGTAGGTCATGGGGGTGAAGCCCTTCTTATGAAGAAAATTAGCGCCCTTAAAAAAAAAGAGAATGGAAAAGGTAGAGCAGAGGACCTCTAGATACTTGGGCTTGATTCTCCACAGAAACACCAATTTGAATACTTATTTATGCATTAAGCTACCTTTACAAGAGCTAAGGAAGCCAGGAGAGAAACCATAGTGACTAGCTTTATTTATTTATTTATTTTTTTGCGGAACCGGGGATTGAACTCAGGCCCTTGCGCTTGCCAGGGAAGCGCTTATTCCTCTGAGCCATCTCCCTGGCCCCCTAGCTTTATTTATTTATTTATTTATTGATTGATTGATTGATTTTGCAGAACCGGGGATTGAACTCAAGCTCCTGCACTTGCCAGGCAAGCACTTATTCTGCTGAGCCATCTCCCCAGCCCCAGTGACTGGTTTTAGTACAACAAAAAGAAAAGATACATTGAAAAAGACAAAAAGGAAGTCAAGCACAGTGGTTTTTTTCTTTGTAAAAGAAGCCTTATTGGGCTGGGGAGATGGTTCAGTGGAATAAGCGGAATAAGCGCTTCCCTGGCAAGCACAAGGGTCTGAGTTCACTCCCTGGTTCCACAAAAAAAAAAAAAAAAAAACAAGAAAAGAAAAGAAAGAAAGAAAAGAAAAAAAGAAGCCTTATTGCTCAGGGCAGGAGTGCTGCAGAACACAAGAGGCAGAGAGACAAAGAATTTATCTGGCTGGGTTGGGGGTAGAGTTTGCATAGGCCATACAGTGTCTAACAGGCGTTGACTGGGGAAAAACAAGAGACCACTGAGGTTAACCAGAGGGAAGAAGGTGGAAGTTCGTCTAGATTTTGGATGCCATGCCGTGCTGGCTTGCTGCCATGATGACCCAGCAGACTTTTGTATGGGTGCAGAGCCATCACTAACACTCCAGGAAGGAAGCACCACATCCTATGAACTTTTTTTTCTTTTATATGATGTTGGTCCCTGTGAAATCTATCAGGGTTTGCTAACTGGTGGTTGTCTAAGTTAGATCCATCCCACACAGACTGGGAGATAGGAACCTTAGCTTTAGGTGTTGGCTGAAACGAATTCTTCTGGTAGCTTTGCATTTTTGCAGGCTGACATTCTAATAGGGTAAAGAGCAATAAAGGAACATGGGCCTTAAGCTATTAAAAATCATGTTAGTATTTGTTCAAGTCTTTGTAGGCCAAGCTTGAGGCCTATTCAAGGAGAAGGCCCAAGCCAGCCATTATGGCACACACCTGTAACCCCAGTATTCTAGGACACTGATGCAGGAAGATTCCAAGGTTCAAGCCCAGCCTAGGCAACTTAGGAAGGCCCAGTTTCAAAATAAAAAGGTCTGAGGATGTAGTAAATGTGAATGTCCAGGATTCAACCCCCAGTGTCACCAAAAAATTAAATAAATAAATAAATAAATAGGCTCAGAAGAGACTGGTTAGAGTTCAGTTAAAGAGAATCTTTGTTGGTGTATTTTTTTTCATCATTTGTGAATTCCTTGAGAGAAGACTGTGCAGTCCTTAACAGAAGAAGAATCTTGATTTCCTAAAAGCCTGCCACAGTGTCTTACACTAAGCATGCATTAAATGAATTGGCCTAAGGACTGCAGTGAAATCACAG